AAATGTGATGCTTAGTAGCTGAGATATCAGTGGGAAAGCCGAAAATTAACAAACCATTATGTAAATTAGGCTAATTATATGCATGGATTTTTACACAAAACTAATTAAATCTGTGACTGACTGACTGACTGACGGACGGACGGACAGACGGACTGACTGACTGACTGACTGACTGACTGACTGACTGACTGACTGACTGACTGACTGTCTGACGGACGGACAGACAGACAGACAGACAGACAGAGAGAGAGACAGACAGACAGACAGACAGACGCATGCACGCACACACGAACGCATGCACGCACGCACCAAAGATGGATGATACTATACTCAAAGCCATGCATTGGTTTCTTTTGACTTTTATTGTCAATTATTTTACATAATATGACACATTGAATGTCATATACTAGTCATTTTTTAAAGGGGCAGTCATCGCACAGTGCAGGGGTCCCTTATCAAACACAAAGCAACGTGATGACCACTGCCCTTTAATAAAGTGCCAAGAGTTGCAGGATAAGCTAAACAAAGTAAAAAATACCTAATTGACATCCTGTTGTGAAAGAAATATCATCAATTGCAATATCTGCAAACTGATTACGCCCGACAACTGCAACAAAAAACAGCTGAAAACTTTCACTACTGTTCAGTGTTATCTTCTCCAAGTGCCATGCATCCCCTTCATTGCCATCTTGTTTAAAGATTTCTGTTTCTCTGTGTGATGTCATTGTCAACATTTTCAGTTTGAGTTCATCAACGTCGGTACCATACATATGGTAAAAGAATCTTATCTAGATAAACAAAAAATAATAAAACCAAGTTTCATTTAAATCTATGAAAAATGGCTGATTAGTTTTGTGATGACAAATTATTCATAACGTAATTTATACAAGAACTAAAAACCTTCATTAAAATCATATAAAAAAGTTATAGGCCCAAAGCATTCATAAATTGGATCTGAAAAATATAATGATGCACATCAAGGTCCCATTATGGTAAATCTTGAATCTGGTAATAAAATGAATGGACATGCCTCCCAAGATTTATGGTGTGTCCAAGATAGAGGTTGACACACACACACAAACAGACACAGAGGTTTGCCCTCAGTGTCAGACATACACACACACAGACACACACACACATTCAAGGAGAATCAAGTAATAATATTATTAACTTTATTACACTATAGTATGGCAAAATAGAACTACAGCATTCAAAACTACAATAACATGTGAATCTTATAACATCACATGGTTCTCCTTTTTTCAGATTATTATATTTAAATAGAGCAGTCTTCAAAGGTTTTTTCATTTTTTTTTTCATTTTTGAAATAAACACAATCTAATATAACCAACAGTTATTTGGATTACCATTTTCGGACATATTCAAGTTTACTTCTTCTACCTAGCTACTGTAAAAATATTTCGGTTCTCTAAACAATTAATTCCCTAATTATTAAGCGGATTTTGACAGAATTTGGTTTCTCTTATTATTCAGTCATGGTTTGATACAAACAATTTAATTTTTTGGTTTGCTATGCAATATGTTATTTTTTAAGTGAATTTTTATCACGGAAAATGTTTCATAAAACATGATTGATATCATTCATTAAAACAAAATGACCGCCAGCCAGCTATTATAATGTCTAAAATACTGTGTAACAAGTTTGAATAAAATTCATCCATAAAAGTTCCGGAATGCCTGAAATGCTTGATTTTTGATGATTTTTTTAGCACAAAAATAGCCAACATTCAATTATCTTGAATCAGATCTTGAAACAAATTGATGTGCATATGTATAATATTACGTATGATGTATGTGTGAAGTTTGAATGTAATCATACCAGGCCTATCTAAGATGCATGCACAGACGCACAGAGATCAATCCATAAGTCCCTGTTTTCATACTCCATCCAAACAGGGACTAACGGCTGAGATAGCTCTGCTGTTAGCAATGCACATTTCAATTAAAAAATATATCATTAGAAAATGAACAATATGTATAGTACATGTATCAAAGCAATCAGACTTGCTGTTTTCAACAAGAAATTTGAAAATATCACTTTTTACCAAAAAAGACAAAAATATTCATTAAAATTAGAGAATTAAAGATATCATCACAAAATGAACAAATCTGAGAGAGGTATTTACCTGGGGTACCTATATGTACATAAAAGCAATCAGACTTGTGGTTATTAACAAGAAGTTGAAAATATCACTTTTTACCAAAAATTACAAAAATATTCACCAAAATTAGAGAATTGAAGATATCATCTTGAAATATGGTACATATACACCAAGTATCAAAGCATTCTGGCATTTAGTTTTCAAGAAGAAGTCGAAAAGTAAAAAGTTGACACGGACGAAGGACGCCAGACGCCGATGGACAATAACTCATATGCTAATTAAGCTCCGCTCGACAAAGTCAACAGTGGAGCTAATAAAAAACTTTATTAATTTATTAATAGCCGCTTTAATAGCTGTTGAACTACAGACAATCTTTTCATACTAAAAACCCTGGTAAATAAATATCAAAAAATAGTCAGAGAGTGCCAATAAACAAAATAACACAAATATTAAAAAATGAAATAAATTATATGCCTGCTTTATTGACCTTAGAAAGGTCTTTGACAGTTTCTGGCATGATGGAAAAATGTGTAAAACTATCAAAAACATGTACAGTAAAGTAAAATATAAAGTTAAATGTAAAGAAAGTTTAACAAAACAATTTCAGTCCAATATTGGTGTTAAACAGGGATGTAATTTTAGTCCAACTCTCTTCAATCTTTTTTTAAATGACCTGCCCACTATTTTCAATCCTAATACCTGTGATCCTCCTTATTTAGAAAACTCGCATGTCAGCTGTCTACTCTATGCCGATGATATTGTGATACTTTCTAAAACTAAACAGAGATTACAGACATGTCGTGATAGTTTGGCATTGTATGCTAAAACGTGGAAGCTCTCTGTCAACACTGACAAAACCAAAATTTTAAATTTCAATAAATCAAACAGACGTTTGAATAATGATACATTTTTTCTTGGAGGTATCTTACTTGATACAGTTAAATCTTATAACTATCTGGGACTAGTCATTAGTGCCAATGGTAGGTTTAAGGATGGCCTAAAAAATCGTAAACGTAAAGCTCAAAAAGCTCTGTTTTCAATGAAAGCAAAGCTTGTCACAATTCAAAACATGAGTACACATGTATAAAAGTTTCAATTTTCCTTTTTGACAAACTCATCAGACCTATCCTCATTTATGGTTGTGATGTTTGGGGTGATGAATTCTCCACTAAATCACCTATTGAAGACATTCAGTTAAGTTATTGTTGGTATCTACTAAGGTTTCACAACACACACCAATTATGGCCATGTATAGCGAGTTAGGCAGATGTATTTATAAAAAAAACAAATAATTAAATATTACAGTCGGGCCATGAATTCTAATAATGTGTTACTCAAGGAAGCTTTTGTGGTTATATAACCAAAACATTAAAAGTTAATGGTATCTAGAAATAACATCATTATTAAACAATATCCATC